TGATGATATCGTTCTTGCCGGGAACGACCACCAAGCTTGCCAAGAGGTAAAGACCTACCTTAATCATTGCTTCAAAATCAAGGACCTAGGCACGTTAAAGTATTTTTTGGGAATAGAAATAGCAAGGAACAAGGATGGGATATTTCTATGCCAAAGGAAGTATGCATTAGATATTTTGCGTGACACAGGTTTGACTGATTGTCGACCAGCTCATTCTCCTATGGAACAAAACCATCGCCTTGCTCTTGATGATGGTCCTGAATTTGGTGACCCTGCGCGTTATCGCAGGATTGTTGGGAAACTTGTTTATCTCACTATAACCCGTCCGGATCTCAGTTACGTCGTACACATTCTATCCCAGTTCATGCAGTCGCCAAAGGAAGCACACTATGATGCAGCTATACGGGTATTACGGTATCTCAAGCTTAACCCCGGCCAAGGAATTCTTTTACCTAGTGCGAGTGATCTCAAAATTCATGCATATTGTGATTCAGATTGGGCAAGTTGTCCTTTGACGCGCCGATCTGTATCTGGTTTTTTTATTATGCTAGGCACCTCACCTATATCATGGAAGACAAAGAAACAATTGACTGTGTCACGCTCTTCCGCAGAGGCAGAGTATAGGTCAATGGCTGCAACTACAGCAGAGCTCATATGGTTAAAGTCTTTCCTCGCCTCCTTGGGTGTTGATCAAATTGAACCAATGGAATTATTTTGTGATAATCAAGCAGCAATGCATATAGCTGCCAATCCTGTCTTCCATGAAAGGACCAAACATATTGAGTTAGATTGTCACTTTGTGCGTGAGCATCTCCTAGCCAACACCATCCGCACTGCTTACATTCGATCTCATTCACAACTTGCTGACATTTTCATTAAAGCATTGGGCAAGACATCCTTTCTTACATTTCTTCCCAAGTTGGGCATTTCTTGTCTCCATGCTCCAACTTGAGGGGGAGTGTTAGCAAGGATATTGGACTAGTAGGCTCAAGCTGTTAGCAAGGATTGTAACAGTCATCAAAGTCATCAAGTCGTTAGCTTAACTATTGCAATTAGTAGGCTGTTTGTAACAGTCATCTAGCCGTTAGATATTTAGTAGTTGTTAGCTGTTGCAGAATATTTTATTTGTTTAGTTTGTTTTCTCTGATGAGTTTGTTAAGTAAAAGATAAACAATAACACCTTTAAATGAAGATTTGGTTTTCCTTGCACTTAAGTTTTTGTTGTCTTTTATAGTGCATTAAAAGCCTTGGGAGCTCGTCAACAGTTTAGGGATAGGTTATATTTATCATTATTATTTTTATTTTTTATTATCAAATCTTAATAATTAATTTTCATTAATTTAACGGTTATAATTTATTAAGAATTAATAATTAAGTAATAAGTATGACCCAATAAATTATAACCGTTGGATTAACAGAAATCAATAGTTAAGATTTAGTGGTAAAAAATGATAAGAAAAAATAGTGAAAAGTATAACCTCCCTCAAAATTTTAAATTAATAACACTTCATGCATGATAGAAATATAATAATAGGTTTATTTTCAAAACAACTAAATAATGCTAAATTTCATCTTTAAGGTAAAATATTTTAAAAATATAAAATCCTTTATATATCTTAACCTTAGAGCACAAAATCGCTTTTGGATTAAAAACATAAAATTGTTTATATATCTTTTAACGTTCATTCCAGACATTTATTTAATAAATATCAATTTTTTAATTAACTTTTATTACAAAAAGAGTTTGGGCGATCACATATTCCATTAAGCTCAAGAGCAAAAAGGATTAATCCAACGGATGCTAGGAGTAATGGGGGTGGAGCTCTTTGTGGAGGTATTATTAGTGATGATACAGGCTGCTGTCATATTGGTAGGAATATCTACCAAAGTGTCATTATTTGACAAATTTTTTATCCAAATAACACGCGAACAGTACTTTTTATCAGATTACCACGTGACATAATTCGCTATGACTGGTAACAGATTATGTTTGCCAATAATTTTGTGACACGTGGCATATTTTCTCAGAAAAAAGTTGACTGGATGAAATTCGCTACTAGTGGTAACGAATTTGGTACGCAATGTGGCCACGTGTCACGAAATCACTGGTGAACATAATTCGCTACCAGTCGTAGCGAATTACATCGCGTGGCAATCTGATAAAAAGAGTTGTTCGTGTGGCATTTCAGTATTTTACAAACAGTGGCACTTTGGTCACTGTCTCATATTGGCCCATGCTCAACCTTTATAACTGAATTATTATGAGGTGTCTTTAAAGGTCTAGAAATTGTCTGGGCTAGTGATTGGAGACGAATTATTCTTGAAAGTAATTCCACTTCGGTTATCATTTTGCTCGCCAAAATTGAAGGCGCAACTCGAGAGTCTTCCATGATAACTCGTATTTGAGCATGGTTACAAAAAGATTGAGAATTTTGCCTAGTCATTCCTACAAAGAGAATAATGATTATGCATATTGGCTCTCTAAATTTTCTTTGGATAATCATATGGAAAATAAACTGTGTGTTTCTCCTTCTTCCCCTCCTAATAATTGGCTTTTGTATTTAGTTGATTTTTCTGTGGTTTGTAATTTCTGTACGATTGTTGTAACTTGATGTGTTTGGGTTTTTTTTTTCCCTTTAGACTACCAAACAAAAAAAAAAAAATTGATCCGCCTCTATAACGTTCTGTCAGAAACTAAACACAGATTTATTTTTTCTTGGCTCTTTGAACTAATTAAACCCTTTAAAATCAAATTTGTTGATTGAAAACTATGTATCAAAATAATATAGTTTAGTTCCTTGGCTATTTTTATTTAAAAAATAATTATTTTGAAAAGCTATTTTTCAAATCAATATTATTATAATGTATTGAAATTAAAATGAAAAATGAGATAAATATGTTTATAAATAAAATATTCTATCTAGAAGTATATTTTCAAAATGTTTCAAAACATTTTTTTTTAATAAATAGATCCAAGATGTTTTTGTCTTGAGAACAACTTATAATCAAAACGTTGAAAAAAAAAAAATTTTTGGATTGTTTAAAATTTACAATCAAAATACTCAATAATATTTTTTATTTAAAAGTCGTGTTTTCATCATGATTTCCCTATTTTTAAGTGGGAAATTTCTAGAAAAAAAAAACTTATAAAAATATAATAACAAATATTTTTATCTTTTGTATTGATTTTTTTTGGCAAACATAATAGTTAAATTGTTATCATTAATAATAAGTTTGACATTTTCAATTTTAAAATGTCTTGATAAATTGCATTAGACAAATGAAAATTACTTATTGTATTAATTATTTGATAAATGTATTTAATATTAATATCTAAAACAATAATAATTATATTATGTTTAATTTTAATTATTAAAAGTTAGTTATAATTGTTTGGAGAGAGACAATAAAAGTGCTGCCAAAGTATCCCTAGTGTAGCCAATGTGTTAAACTATATCATTTTGATAAATGATTTTCACATAGGACCAATTTAACAAAGTTTTTTTAAAAGGATTTAATTTGGTCAAACTCATTTTAAAATGAATAAAAAAATAATCAATCAATAAAATAAATTAAACCAAACAATTAAAGATAATTAATTAAAAGAAATAAGTTAAACAGATTAAACAAATTGTTTTTTCATATTTTATTTTATTTTTCTTACTTATATTAATTGTGTAATGTGGTAAACCCTACGAAATTTATTTCCTCGAATTATCTAGTATTCTTTAAATCATTAACACACAATGGAGGAGTATAATTTAAGGATTATTGTGTAAGAATAATTATAGTTTTTATAAATTTTAAAATTCTCTGTTATTTAATTTTTTATTATTTTAATTTTTTTTCTTTAATTATTCTTATGTTTTTGGAAAGATATCCCCATATTCATATTTTCTATTTAATTCGACCCTCTTAGAATTTCATATTCTAGAAGTTAATATTTAATTAAGATTTTATACTCATTTAAAATTTATCTAGAATTTCATATATAGAGAAATCTCAAGAAATCTTAGGGATTAAGGTGAAATTGTGAGAGAGACATCCTATTTATATTTCTCACTAAAAAATACGACGAAATCCACACCAATAGCAAATCCATTAAAATCGTCAAATTTTATTTTTTGGTACATTACCAGGAGGTATCCCCATTCAACCTTCTCCGGGCACCATGCCCTCGGGGTACAGCCCATTTGGGCTAGCCCCTCGTTATAACAGTGGATGCACTAAGCTTCGCAACTGGAGAAAGGACGAAACTAATCCCCCAACCGAAGATATTTGGCTTATCCTCTAGCCCCCAAAGATTTTCCAAGAAACTGCTTGAGGCAGGGTTTGATCTCTGCACCAAGCAATCCCTTGGGAGCTTAGCTGCCAACTGAGCTACCCTTGGGGGTTAAAATCGTCAAATTTTTTAATATCACAAGATTATTTTTCTTTGTAAAATATTCTGATTGAATACTAATGGATTTGGACAAACTCTAAAATAATCTTTTAAAATCCTAATCGAATAGCATGTGACTTTTTTTAATCCTTTAAAATACTAATTGAATACTAATAGATTTTTTAATTAAAAAATAATCCATTAAAATCTTTAAAATTTCAATCTAATACATCCCCTAAAATTCTATAATTGAAAATAAAATTGTATTATAAAAGAGAAAGCTTATACTTATAATTTTTTTTTACAACCTCTTATAACCATATGTTAACACCATTGATTTCCGTGGTTAAATTTGATTTTTATGGAACACAATTATGATTCCTTGTTTGTAAATTTTAAAATAATATTAGAATAAGATATGACCATAATTGACATGGAATAGGATACTGGTTAGTGCAACACACAGATATATGGCAGATGGCAGATGGCCGATAGAATTTGAGAGAGTTTGAAAAAGCGAAAGAGCGCGTCAATCTCAAGTCGCGAGTTGGTTCTTCGTCCGTAAGTATAACACTTCAATAATGCAAGGGTTTGTGGCGTGATATTGAAGCCAATAATTTTTTGCGTTATTTTCAAGTCCAAACCCCTCCAATAGCAAACTTTATAAGCACCAACCTTCCCCTCCCTACACACTCACCATTCACCTTCACCAACATCTCATACCCTCATTCATTGAGATTATTCATGGTGTGTAAGCCCCTCTTTACACTTTCTATATGGTGTTTCCATGCTTGATCTTTATGTTCTTTTTAGTGTTATTTATCTCTAACCCTTTCATGCTTTTGTCTCCTTTAGGCTCTGCCACAACAACAGACTGTTGACTATCCAAGTTTCAAGTTGGTCATCGTTGGCGATGGAGGAACTGGTTATCTTCACCCTCTTTCTCTTCTTCTTTGCGCTTCTGTTTTTCTCTATATTAGTGGCTTTTGGAATTCTTATTATTAACTACTTGGATTGGTGGCACAGGAAAAACCACTTTTGTGAAGAGACACTTAACTGGGGAGTTTGAGAAGAAATATGAACGTAATAACTCTCCAACAACCAACCTTTTACTATCTTCTTTAGTTGTCTTTCCCCCTTTACTTACTTTTTACTATTCCTAATCATTCATTTATGGTTTGTTTATTTAATTTTGCAACAGCAACCATTGGTGTGGAGGTTCATCCACTAGACTTCCATACCAATTTTGGAAGAATTCGCTTTTACTGCTGGGACACTGCTGGCCAAGAAAAATTTGGTGGTCTTAGAGATGGTTACTAGTAAGTTCATACAATCTATCGGACATGTTCTTGTTTAAACATGTTCCTTTTGTCCTGTTGAGTATTTCTTTGCAGATTTTCGTGCTTTTAAGTACAGTTTTCTTGTGCAGTTCCTTGTTTTCAGTTCTAGGCTTGGTGCATGTAATAAGTAATAACATGGATGCATTATAATTTTTTCATGATCGTTGTAGACATTGTTAAGTTGTATTTTGGAAGGGGAAAAGATGAATCAGTCATGAATGGACTAGCACAAAATTGTATTATTTGTTTATGTCAACTCTCATGGGATGACAGCTTGTGTTTGTATTTATCTTTTGTGATTTGAATACATACCTTCTCCCTCTTTTTATTTTTCTGATATTAGGCCATTCTGAATTGTGTTCTTTCTTTTTGCATATCTTGTTTTCTGGCATGTACTAGCCCTTTTCAACAGTTGCTTGGTTGTTTGATTCCATGGCTACTAGAAGATTCCTACATGTTTTCTTATATATGAATTGGAGGGTTGTTTATGATGTCCTCATGAAAATCTTTGAATTATGTGCAGCATTCATGGAGAGTGTGCTATCATTATGTTTGATGTAACAGCTCGGTTGACATACAAGAATGTTCCTACATGGCACCGAGATCTCTGTAGGTGAGTTGATTCATTTTTATTTTTATTTTTTGATAATTATCTTCGGGTTTTTTCCTTGCAATGCATTTCTCTGCAGAGTATCTGACTCTTTCTTGTTTATTCATAGGGTATGTGAGAACATACCCATTGTTCTCTGTGGAAACAAGATTGATGTCAAGAATAGACAGGTTAAAGCAAAGCAGGTTACATTTCACAGGAAGAAGAATCTGCAATACTATGAGATATCTGCAAAGAGTAACTATAATTTCGAGAAACCTTTCTTATACCTTGCCAGGAAACTTGCAGGGTACGTAATGGAATGCTTTAGTTTTTTGTTCATCGTTGATATGCCAATGTCATGACCCATGAGTAGTATCTAATAATGGGTCTTTTGATTCTAGGGATCCTGGCCTTCACTTTGTGGAGATGCCTGCTCTTGCTCCCCCAGATGTAGTCCTTGATGTAGCTACACAGCACTTGTAAGGACTCTTATTTGTTGTTTATGTGTTTTTAGCAATATTTGGATGTTCTACCTCACTCTTACGCATTTTTTTTTTCCGGTTGATTCACTCTTATGCATGTTATTTATTTTATATGTTTTTACAGGAATGAACAAGAGCTAGTTATGGCGGCTGCTCAGCCACTACCTGATGACGATGATGATACTTTTGAGTAAACTTTTGGGCTTCCAGATTGTTCCTGAAAAAAATGTTTTTTTCTATGTTTTTGATGAATTGTAATCTTGGGAAGGGTTTCATCAAAGAGAAAGGAAGAATGAAGTTAGTACGGAACAGTATGCTGTATTTCTTAGTTTTGTTCCTCCAGTTATGCTCTCTGTAACAGAAATCAATTGAATTTTCGTGTCATTAAACTTTTGAGTGATGTCTTATATAGTAGATTCCCCTGGCTTATTTTTTTTGCTCATAATGAACCTCTATAATCATATGGCTTCACTTCTGAAGTCTAGAATTATTTGTTAAATGGATATTGATAAATGAATATGCAAACTACCCTACAGTGATTTTATCTCTATTAAAACTTTATTCACTGGTTTTCTCATGCAAGGGCAAAATGCATATTGTACTATATATAGATTTTTCCAAGCACATCGTACGCGACAAATCAGAATTTTATTCAAGGTCATAAGACAAGCGACATTGGATCAATATGTACCAATTTTTATAAGTCTATGAAGTAGAGAAATAGTGGTTGATGGTTACAGACCTACTAATAAAAATACAATAAGGTGGTGTTTGGTTAGGAGCTTTTCAGCGGATATCTATGTTTCTCAAGTATGGTTTTTAGAAACACCATGTTTGTTTCAACGTATTTTCATCAAAAACTCATCTATCCAATTTGTATGGATTTATGAGAAACGTAGATATCCGCACTGTTTAGAAACCCAATTTGAAGGTGGGATTTTTCGGAAAACCGGTTATCTGGCTTTTAATGCACTGTTGATTTCATAAAGCTACTTAATTTTACCTAATTTTCCCAGTAAAGTTTTTCCCCACCAAATAACTTTTTTTTACATTTTTCTACCTATCTCACTCTATCTATCTTTCCAATCATTTCTCTATCTATTACATTTTCCTACTATTCCAAAAAAATTTCCTCAACCAAACGCCTCCTTAGGTTGTTCCGTAGGCCATTAGTTTGAAAGAAACTTAATAACATGTTTGATTTGAGGAAAATGTAGAACAAAGGAAAGAAATTTTTTAAAATTTGTGCTGTTTGGAGGGATGATGATGATAACATGGCTTTGCAGTTCTGATGTTGAGGACATAGTTTATCATTATAAAATGTTTCAGGGGCATTTCTTATAAGTTGATGCTCAGATGGTTGTGAGCTTAGACTGCTTAGTATTACTGTGTTTGGTACATGTAAAAAAGAAAATAAAAATGAAGAAAAAAAGTGATCTCTCGTAGCCAAACAGAGCAGAGAATAGTTTCTTATGTCTCACATGAAAGCAACAAGCATCTATCCGTTGCAATATGAAATTTTGAAATTTTCTTTTGTAGGATCATTCACTTGGTTTGGATGTGGAAAGGGGAAAAAAAATAGCTGTTATATTTTTTGAACTGGTAGTTTTGATCTGTTGAATCAACCTCTTTCTTTATGGCAACACCTTGTATTCTGTGTTGAAAAGTGTTTTCAAGATAAATTCTAAACCCTTTTTACCTGGCAGAAATAACTTCTTAGATTCTGATGCCATCATGTATTGGTGGTGACTGGTGAGTGATCCTTAGATGCGGTCCTGAGTTGCATCATTTCATAACATTTCTATCATGAAGTTTTCAGGTACGGCTTTAGGTTATGGCCAGCTGGCCTTATCTCAGAATGCATTGAACCTTGAATTGTAGCAGGTGATTGTGCTCCATTAGGCTAGTACAATTTCCTTTATTGGTTAACTAGCTCTGAGCCTTTTGGGTTGTTTGATAAAATGCAGGACCAAAGTGGCAAACCCCATCCATCACCGTTCATCAGTGTACCATATGCTATAGCTTTTACATACTCAAATTAATTTTGTGCCTTATCATGGACATGTGAATTTCTAATAGTGAATAATACCAATTACCACATGACTGACGGCACCACATCATCAGTCCACTATATGATTATTATGCGGTAGTAGTTTTATGAACACAAACACTCACTTGCCAATTGCCATGTCTCCATAACTGGTAACCTGCTGCAGAGAAGGCGTGCCCTAATGGACCAGCGATATTGATGGCTCCCCTCCCGTCAGAAGCTCACCCTGTTCTGCTCCATTTGCCATAAGAATTGTCCCTTTCTATGTCGGTTCTAAGCCACACCTATAGTCCCATTTTGCCATGACTACTCTACATACTGTACACACAGTGTGTGCCCACTAAGCAGTGGTAGGAATTAGGAACCCCCTAAGGCCAAAAGTGGGCCATATGAAAGCTGGTCTTGACCATTGCCAGCAGCATATACGTCTATGAAATGGGGTGGGCTCATAATAGAGAATTTTGACCATTGCCCACCAGAGCAGTACACTGTCCAATTTTTCAGGAGCTGGTTAGTGGTTACCTCTAATAACTTATTAACTAGGTCCCATATAGTATAGGGCACAAATGTAAAAGCTCAGCTTTAAAGGGGAGGTGGCTTTCAATGTCGGTTGAGTGGTCGGTGTTGCTTTGGGCTAAGGCCTATTTAGTAGTTATCTATCTATGTCTATTCCCAGGGCCCCTATTACTACTACTCAACTTCTCATTCCTTTTGGTTTTGGAAGTCATCTTCTCTTGCTGTTCCTGAACGCGGCTCACTTTGCTATGTGGCCCATGCTGTCTTGCATCCTTTTAGTGAACTGGCTTTTCTTTCCTCTTTCCTCGGCTCTTAATGGTGATCATATGCACCTGTTCTCTGTGTCTCCTAATTTTGTTCTGTATCATGCACTTTGATAGCCTTAAATACCATCGCCATCACATATACAGTTCCAGCTAGCTTTTTATATATTTGCTTTTATTTTCTTTTGTCTTTTTCCAGTCTTAGTCTAATCCTCAAATCAATATATATATGTATTTTTATATATGAATTAATTAGAAGTCATCAATGCGGATATGGATATGGATATATGCATAGCTATTAATGTAATCAAGACCCAGAAAATGAGGGACATGTATGCAGGGCTCATCATGTATTTGTAGTCTTTTTATACTTCCATGCATGTGTTTGTGTATGTTAACATTCAATGTATTCTAATTATTATGAAGAATATATATATACTGCAAACTAAAAACTGGAATCCATGAGGGTGAGGGATTTTATTTTAGGAAAAGGGTCTAATTTTGAGTTATGATCAATGTACCAAAATTGAAATGCATGCAACATGAAACATTCATAGTGGCTTAAAAAACTTTTAAGAATTTGCTTCTTGAACTGATTATGGATAGATATAAGAACCAAATCAAGTTGTCATAAATTTTCCAGTTAATGATATTAAACACCAGTCCCATGTTAACCCTAACCCACAACATAAGAGGAAAGTTATAAGTGGGAAAACTGGAGGGGGGAGAAATAGAATAGTAACGGAAGAATGTGACTTATCATCACATGGCCCATCAACTGAGGGTACATATTTACAACAAATGTATATGGAGAGCACTTCATGGTAGGGTAGGGAGGATGGTAATGGGAGAAATAAAACTGATTATAGCTTGTTTTCATGTAAATTTGAAACAGGACATGTTCTGCAAAAGAAGCACGTGCTTACACATAAACGGGAGGGGCATCAATAAGAGTATAGCTAGCAACTGTCATTGTCTATTCCATATGCGCCTAGTGGTGATGGGAATTAGAGACTAGGGGAAACCTGAATTTATTGGCAATAAGGACTGATAGTTTCGCCTATACTTCCATTTCTTATCTGCCTCTCACTCTTAGCCTCGTTGTGATGATTTGGATTCTCTTGCTTTAGCACTTTTCAATCTCATATCACTTGAAAACTTTATAGCCTAACTCCCTACTTTTCTCATTTGATCTCTTGAATTATATAGACTGGCTTTCTACAATTTGTCTGATCAAGTTGTTAACGTAGTATGCTTTCTGTTCTCTATTAACAATACATAAATGATTAGGGTACTAGTACTGTCCAATTTGTAAATTTTTACGCCATTAAAAGAAGTTATTAGAAGTGTTCTAGTGGTGAAGGACTTCCATAGTTTGTATTATTAAAAGCCTATATTATGTTTCATGATGTCAAAACTATTGCTTCCTTAAATTTCATCTATAATTAAACAAAATTAATAAATTTGGAAGTGAAAAACTTGGCAATTGTTTCTTTCATTTGTATAAAATATTGAATTCAATATTCTGTTCTGACTCGGCTTCTCTTTTCATCACTGTAGGTATTGATCACTAGTGTTTGTTGTGGAAATTTGTTCAATTTTATGAGATTATATCGATAAATCACGAAATATATTCCACGTGCCAGAGTCACCGGTGGACACTTGCCAGTTGTTGCACTTGTACGCTTGCAAGTAGCTAATCAGTTCATTTAAAAAATTTATAAGCTGAAAACAAGAGATCCCGAAATCGGTAATTTAGATTTTACTTTTTTTGGTGAATTGTTAATTTAGATTTTTGTATGTTGCTAGTATTGTACTTGGTTTAGACATATGATTTTTTATATAAATCAAATATATCATCATCAGCTTAAGTGAAATCCGCACAGTAATTGCAGTATACTGGAAAAATTCTAACTGTTGAGTGTTGACATGATAAGATTTTGCTCTCAATGTTTTAATTGTCATTTTTTTTAAAAAAAAAAATTATACGAACCGTAATTACTTTTTAATTAGCCTTCGGATATTTTAATAAGCTTCAACTCTTTAAGGTAATTATGAGATTAATTCTGAGTCAAAATATTTTGTCATAATTAAAGTTTATCGCCTCACTCCAAAGATATATTTAATAGAAATCAAATACAAGTTATCTTCATATTCTACTTTTAGGTAATGTTTATTAGGTAATGTTTTTTACTTTTAGGTTAAAAGCAAAGAAGGAAGGGTTAATTAAATAAAGAATTAAAGCTTAATTTTCTGTTAAAAAGGGACCAAAGTTAGGTGAAAGTACAACTTAAATTTATACGAGGGGCTATTGGAAAGAGACATAATTGGACATGGATGGTTTTAATGGGACAAAACACACAGCATAAAATGCAGTACCTTGTGTTCACCTTCTTCATATGTGCATAAAAGCAGACATGCATATGAACAACAACCACAATAAATTACTGTATTGTTACGAAGAAATCTTGGGGATGGTGGAGAAAAAGTAAACTTGGTCACCATCGATAACTGTTTTTAACTGAAAAAGTGCAAACACTGCCCCTCTGTTCACGAGGGTTAAGGTGTGTTGAAAAATATAATATATTAAT